CTCTCTCTCTCTCTCTCTCTCTCTCTCTCTCTCTCTCTCTCTCTCTCTCTCTCTCTCTCTCTCTCTCTCTCTCTCTCCCCCGAACTATGGATGTGGTAGTGCTGTTGGCATGCGATAAACAGGACATCGAAGAGCTTGCAGATGATGTTCACAGAGCGGCGTTGCTCCTTAAGGACGTGAAGGCAGCAGTCCATCGGGAGCAAGAGTCTCTTCCAATACTCAAGGTAATTTTTGGCCATCGGAGAGAGAGGTCTGGCGATTGGTGGGTGGTCGGAGAAGACGTTCAAACACTTTGCTGCAGGCTGTGCCCACTGCCCACTGCCCACTGCCCATGCAATTCTCCCACTAGTACTCAGAGTCTCAGACACATCCATGCAGCTAAGTGTTTTCTGTGTTTTTTCTTCTTTCTTCAGTGTCGAGAACCGACAGTCTTCGGACGTGTTGTGTCCTGCGAGTCTGGGTGATAGTCTTCTTGGATTTTCACAATTTTTCAGTTAATAGAGATCATGGATTTAAGCACGGCGAGGGGGGGCAAAGGGGGGGGCTCTACAGGTGGTTGATGGTTACCACCGCCGCCTGATGGGTAGGCGGTGAAAGTCCGACGAAAAAGTCTGTCACAGCCCTCTGTTTAGAAGGGAGAAAAGGGCAAAAAGGGAGGGCACAAATATCCCTTTTTGTCCTTTTCTCCCGCCTGTGCGGATTGGTGTGAAATTGTGAATCACTATCCATATTTTCTCAAAATTCTGTGTCCTTTTTTGCTTCCTTCGATACGGGGATCTGCATCTGACTGGGACGTGCTTGCGTTGGGCTTCGCATAATTCACGCTTGTTTTTTTCAAACTTTTTCACTCGTACATACGTAGTGGAAACAATGGACCCTTGTTCTTTCTTTTGGTAGGGGATGGGGGGGTTGGGGGGGGGGGAGGAGAGTGGACCCTTGTTCCCCGCCCCACCCCTCCCAGAAAACAACAACAAAAAAGAAACAATGATGGATCAATGGGCAGTGGGGCGCACAAAAACAGTGTTTGCATGGCACATGGGTCGGACGCCTAACGTTTTCACCTGAAAAGAACGTATGGTCATTATCGCTGTATCTTGACTGGACGTTGCCTCAAATACAGCAATAATGACCGTACCTTCTGCTCCGGGGAAGACGGCAGCAGTCCGATGGAAGGAAAGGCAAGCAAAATAGTCATCCTGGCATGTTCCTGCAGAAATAAGCATCTATGACAGAAAAAAAAAAAGGTTTGAAAAACAGACGAAGAAAAAGCAGCAGTAGCAGCAGCAGCAGCTATGGCTGCTCGGCTTCTTGCATTCAGCAACACATTGGCAATATTAATGGTTATGCACGTGAGTACTTGTTGAAATGCAGAGCATGAGTTCGAATCCTGGTGGGGCTCGTGAATTTGATGATGATACCTCAAGTCGGACGCCCCTTTTCTAATTTATTGAAGGAAAAAAAGGAGAAAAGAAAACTATCAAAGGTTACAATCCTCCTGTGCAGCCGAATGAATGGTATGCACGGAACTGCTCTGTCAATAAGCAGAGCATGAGTTCGAATCCCAATGGGAATGGAACCAGATGGATGAAGTAGTGTGCGGTAAACCGTAGGCAGAGAGGGAGGGAGAAGGGGACAACAAACGAGGGGCTGCGACAAACTGTTTCGTCGGAGTTTCACCGTCCCGTCAGGAGGCTGAACCGTATAACAGTGTGCAGAATGCCCTAACTGATTACACTGTAAGTGATAATCCACCTTAACCCCGGTTGTGGTTAAGCATCAACGACTGCCCGACAACTGATACCTCTCTGAGGAGGTGGGGACCACCAACCACTGCCCTCAAGGTACCTGTGACGAAAATCAAAGCAGAATATCACTCACCCACACCCGATGGAAAACTCTACAGACTGTCGGTTCACACCCCATCACAAGCAAGCAAGCAAAAACACCCACGAAACAGAGAAAGGTCTGTCACAGCCAAAAAATACACTCCAGGCACGCCGCTGGCACTAGAGGCACAGCATGGCCGCTTAGTGACGGCCCCGACCACTGCCGCTCGACCTGAGCGGAGAAAACCGTAGCAGGGTGCTAGCAAAGTCGTGGTATATATAGTCAAACAGAGCCGCCCGGTAGACCGTAGGCAGAGAGGGAGGGAGAAGAGGACAACAAACGAGGGGCTGGGACAAACTGTTTCGTCGGAGTTTCACTGACTCATCAGGAGGCTGAACTCTCAACAGTCTGCAGAATCCCCTAACTGATTACACTGTAAGTAATAATCCACCTTAACGCCGGCTGTGATTAAGCATCAACGAATGCCCGACAATATATATATTATATATATGTATATTTACTCTATAATAGTCTATATACATGACCTTAACGAGTTTACCCATTTAGTTTGAGCAGGCCTCGAGGTAATTCACAGTTGTTTTGTCTCGTTGGGCTCCAGACCCTTTTCAGACTCAGGTCTGTACTTCTATTTTTGGGGGAGGGGCCTTTTTTTTCTATTTCCGTAGTTCATTATGGGTGTATCATCCAGCCACATGGGCTTGATTCTCTTATTTTGTTTCTTGCAGAACTAAACTCGCGATTTAGGATGTACTAGTATTTAGCATTTTTTTTTTTTTTTTTACCTATTCGATGTTGTCAGGACTTGTTCGACTGTGGTTGCTTGCTGCCGTGTAATTCTTGCTTTTCTTTGCTTTTTTCTTTTCTTTCCTTTTCCTTTCCTTTCCTTTTTGCTGCGATTCGTTTTTGGAGAGACAGGGCATGGTGGATTCTCTAGAGCTCCAGAGGAAGAGACTGAGGAGCATAAAGGCTAATCTGCCTGAATGCCTCCGGAGCACGCAGGGTGGAGGTGCCATGCAAGAGTGAGTTGTCGCGTTCCACAATCCTTTTTTGTTTGAATGCCTTTTTGCTGTCGTTATTTGCTTTGAAGTTTGTACTATATACCCTAGTAAGTACTCGACCCATCGATCTATTTCGAAGATGGATCTAGTTATTCATTCATCCATTGATACCTTGATTACCACTGCAATGACCGCACCGTTACAGACTTGAGAAATTTGTGCTCTTTTTTTTCCCATCAAAGTTGCTGTCTTTCGTCTCTTTCGCCGACGTCTCAGAGTCTGGGTCTGCTTTGCTGAGAGATTTCCGAGTCGGAGCCATCTCTGCATCCTGCTGATGATATGTGTATGCTGTGTTTGCCTGAGTCTCTGTCTCTGTCTCTTTTTTTTTTTTTTTTATCCTGAGTCTAATTCTCTATTGCCGTGTTAACTTGAAGTTGAACGACATTCTTCTTCTTCTTCTTCTTCTTCTTCTTCTTCTTCTTCTTCTTCTTCTTCTTCTTCGTCATCTTCTTTGTGTTCTTTGTTTTCTTTGTCTTCTTCGTCATGTTCTTCATTGTCGTCGTATCTTCATATCTGGAATTGATTTAGATGTGATTTGGTGTTGGTTGGCTTTGATTTGGTTTGGTTTTACTGTGATTTCACCTAGGGGGGGGGGAGGGGGATGCTGGGGGCAGGATGTCAGCAGGGGGTCTCGGGGGGGGGGGGGGGGGGCGGAGAAGAAGAAGAAGAAGAAGAAGAAGAAGAAGAAGAAGAAGAAGAAGAAGAAGAAGAGGAAGAAGAAGAAGAAGCGGAAGAAGAAGAAGAAGAAGAAGAGGATGAGGAGGAGAAGAGGAGGAGGAAGAAGAAGATGAAGAAAAAGATGGGAGGGGGGTGCGAAAGGGTGGGCGAGAAGAAGAAGATGAAGGTGGAAGATGGGCAGGGGGTGAGAAATGGAGGGCGAGAAAGGATGGAGGGCGAGAAAGGATGGAGGGCGGGGGCTGAGAAAGGGTGCGAAGAAGAAGAAGAAGGAGTAGGAGAAGAAGAAGAAGGAGAAGAAGAAGATGAAGAAGAAGAAGAAGAAGAAGAAGAAGAAGAAGAAGAAGAAGAAGAAGAAGAAGAAGACGATGATGAAGAAGTGGGGTGGTGTAGGAGACGCGGCCCAACACGCGCGCGCACGAGGCAGATAAAAAGAAGAAGAAAAAAAAATCGGAACTGGTGGTCGCTGATGGCGGGCAGGGGGGGCAAGAAGAAGAAGAAGAAGAAGAAGTAGAAGAAGACGAAGAAGAAGAAGAAGAAGAAGAAGAAGAAGAAGAGGAGGAGGAGGAGGAGGAGAAGAGGAAGAAGAATAAGAAGCACAAGAAGAAGAGAAGGAGGAAGAAGAAGATGAAGAAGAAGCGAAGGAGGAGGAGAGGACGAAGAGGAAGAGGAAGAGCGACAAGAAGAAGAAGAAGAAGAAGAAGAAGAAGAAGAAGAAGAAGCGAAGGAGTAGGAGAAGAAGAAGAAAAAGCGAGGGAGGAGGAGGAGAAGAAGAAGATCTCTCTCTCTCTCTCTCTCTCTCTCTCTCTCTCTCTTGTACTAACACACTCACCGTGGCGCGCATCGGGGGGCGTCGGGGGGCGTCGGCGGGCAGCGCGATGGCGTCCGGGGGGCGTCGACTGCGTTGGCGGGCGCGCGGTTCGAAGGCAACGACGAATGTGCAAGTCGGCCGAAGTGAGGCGTCGGGCGTGGGGCTCGAAGGCGAAGACGAACTACAGTAGTCGGCCGAGGTGAGGCGGGAAACTAGAACAGCGTGGGGAAAAAAAAAGGGCCGGTAGGCCCGATTTGAAACATTTCAAATCGCGGTCCATCTGGGCCGTCGATCTTGGAGATCGACGGCGCAGATGGGCCGCGATTTGAAATCTTTCAAACCGGGCCTACTGGCCCTTTTTTTTGTTTTGTGTTTTTTCACACACGGCCTCCTTTGGGGGGAAGAAGGCCCCCTGCGACGGAAAAAAAAAAAAAAAAAAAACCTCGACGATGCGCTGGGGTCGCCCGGTGGCCAACCGGGCGGAACGATCGGCCAGGCGGCCCGGCCCCCCGCCCGGGCGACGAGCCGGCCGCCGGGCGGCCCGGAGTTCAGCCTAGGATTTCACTGATTTGGATGTGATTTGGGTTTTGTGAGACTGGTGTGGATTGGATGTAATTCGGATGTGATGGGATGAGATGGGATGAGATGGGAAGGGATGGGATGGATTGGATTGGAAAGATTGGATGGGTTGGATTGATTGGATGGGTTGGATTGATTGGATGGGTTGGATTGATTGGATGGGATGGATGGGATGGATTGGACACGGCAATGAATAATGTTGTAGCTATGTAGTTATGAATTGATTCAATGGTTGGCTTTGATTGACAATCGATTGATTGATTGACTGATTCCATAGTCGCGGCGCACCTCAGTGCGCGGGTTTGCGCACGCGCTGCACACCGCACGGGAAAAAATTAAGGTCCAAAAAAAAAAAAGTAAGAAAGTAGGGGTTTCATACTTTCCTACCCCCCCC